TGTACAATTCAGAGTTAACTTTATCATTGCGAGTGTCTTTATACTTCGCCCAGTGTAATTGGGAATTAAATTTAACCGCTTTCTTTTTGTGAAAATCTCTTGCTTTCATCAGATTTTTGATATTTGGAGTAATCCAAGGAAGTGAGATGCCTCGGATTCTCATGCATCTAAATGTGCATGTCAATTAAATATTTGCAAGTAAAAGGATTTCCATAGTTGCCAACATGAGTTTGAATTTTCATATTGTGCCACATTTTCCCATGGCATCTGTGATAGATCATTAAGAAAGTCCGTAGCATTGAAGTTTTTAAAGTTCCGGACATATCTAACATTTTGTCGAGATTTTGGAGTAAAAAAATTTCTAACGGCAAAAATCAAACTGTGATCGGATATACCAAGATGAATACCGTATTTACTCGTTTAAGCGCCGCGTCGCTCTTTAAATTTTCAGAGCTTCAGGTGCGGCGCTCATTCGGGGGCGGCGTTCAATCGGGGGCGGCGCTCTTTAAAAAATATTTTATTTGTGAATTATGACAAGAACTTTTAACTATAAAATAGACAAGTTTTAAAAGGTTTTTGTTACTAAATGTTCCCATTTTGACGGCTGAAAACTTTTACACTGTTTAGTGCGGCGCTCATTCGGGGGCGGCGCTCTTTAAAAAAATTTGATCTCAAATGCGGCGCTCATTTGGGGGCGGCGCTCAATCGGGGGCGGCGCTCCGGATTTTACAATATTTTCTTTCTTGTTAGTAAAAATCAAATCGATCAAGGTTGCTGACGTTCTTGTTACCCTTGTGGGTTCGTTAATTAACTGCTCAAGCTGGTAGACGCATGAAAGAAATTGCAGTCTACGCGTGTGAGCATCTGGAAGAAATTTACTAACATCACAATTTCGATCACCCATAAGTAATAATTCTTTGTTTTCCAAGTCACATCTACGTACTAAGAAAATTTTCAAATTCGTCAAACAGGCGAGTATCTGAGCCAGGGGCTCTATACCATGTAGTTACTAAGAATGGCCTGCTGCATGGCCTACTAACTTCCACACATAACATTTCCAACGAGCATGCCGTTTGTAAGTCATTCCGTTCGCTAAAAGGAAAGTCTCCCGAATATACATCAATACACCGCCTCCGTGTCTGTTGCGATCTTTTCGAATTAGGTGAAAACCACTAACGCCTATTTCATCATCACGTTCTACTCTATTTCATGGCCCTTGTAGCAAAGAGTTTAATTTGCGCAACCCCGAAAAGTGTGTTCTAAGAATCTACGGTCAAATAGACGTTCGGTTCATACCTATTCTTGCACAGTCAGGCCATTACTGGCTATAATATAGCTGGTTTTTCGGGATGTGTAATCGAAAAAAAATTATGTTGTATTATGCTGTTTTGTATCTCGCATTATTCTCACGTTCTATGCCCCTGTCGCATAGACTTGAATTAGCGGCAATCTAAAAATTCTATATTAGGAATCTAAACACGTTCCAGAGCAAAGTGTGATATTAATTCTATTTACTTAAAAAAAATGGACAAAACACCTCATGTGAGATAAATGTCCACAAATGTAAAATCTCATAATATCTTATACTAAAAGTTAACATTTTGGTGTAATTTTGCCAAAAAATATTACGTGTTCCAAAAAAGTTCAGAAAATATGAATATTTTTAATAGGTTTGAGCGTAATAAAACTAATGAAGAGATTTTGGTCATTTTAAAAGCACTAGTCACCGATTAGCATATTAATTGTTGGTTTGGATGAGTCCAAACCAATATTAACACGAAAAGACACTAGATGATTTTCATAATGGCATTGTCACTGATATGTTGAAACCACATTTTTACATAGCTCATAAAATAGGGATATTTTCAAGTATTTTAAATGTTGGTTTGGAGAAGTCCAAGCTAGTATTCCAAAGATACTAAATATGAATTCTTAAACAGCAGTTGTCACCGATTTGTCTAGACCACATTTTGACATAGTTGATAAATTAGGAATATTTTGCAAACATATTAATAGTTGGTTTGGGTAAATCCACGCCAATGTGAATGGACACTAAAAAGGTCGTTTTTCAAAGCAGATGTCACCGGCATGTCGAGACCACATTTGCACATGGCTAATAAATTAGGAATATTTTGCAGATATATTAATAGTTGGTTTCGATAAATTGACGCCAACATGAAAAGACACTAAATAGGTCATTTTTCAAAGCAGTTGTCACCAACATGTCGAGACCACATTCGCACATGATTGATAATATATATTATTGGATTCTGCTGAGCCCAATATGGCAAAATATTAAGTAGAGACTTCAATATTGGGCGAGACCGAAGGTCGAGCCTAATATTGAAGTCGAGACTTAATATTGTCCCATATTGGGAAACGATTAATCCAATAGCAGTTTTATTATATCGAACAAAACAATTCTAGAACAAAAATTGTCAATATTAAAGCGATAAAGTAAATACAGCGAGACTAACACAGCGACAACATTACCACATATATCGGCGGCGAAATTTGCTTAAATAACTAAAAAAAAGTTAATAAGCCTGTTTTAACAAATATGTGTGCATAAATAAACTCAATTCCATGTATGTTTAAAGAAAATTTGACCTAATTTTTACGAAAAAAATAATATTACTAACTTCCAGGCTGTTGCAAACAAATAAATTTCGCCGAAGACCAGTTTTCCCCCGCTTTTATAATTTTAAACAAAACTGGTAGAAAAACTGTATTAATGTCCCAAATTCTTTTGATTATTCTACCATATCTTTTGTCGTATGTTTGAAATTGACAAAACATCTGAATATGGTTGAAAAACCATAAAAAAGCCACAATTCGCACTGTCCAATAGGCTCCTATCCAATATCGTAAAATATTGGATCGGTACGTGACCGGTTGGTTAAGTGCGCGTGAGTGTATAATAAATTAGGAATATTTTGGAAAACATATTAATAGTCGGTTTGGATAAATCGAAGCCAACATGAAAAGACACTAAAAAGGATGTTTTTCAAAGCAGATGACACTGACATGTCCCGACCACATTTGCACATGGTTGATAAATAAGGAACATTTTGCAAATATATTAATAGTTGGTTTGGATAAATCGACGCCAACATGAAAAGACATTAAAATGGTCATTTCCAAAAGCAGATGTCACCGACATTTCTAGATCACTCTTGCACATGGTTGATAAATTAGGAATATTTTGCGGACACACTAATAGTTGGTTTGGATAAATCGAAGCCAACATGAAAAGACACTAAATGGGCCATTTTTCAAAGCAGATGTCACCAACATGTCGAGACCACATTAGCACATGGCTGATAAACTAGGAATATTTAGCGAACATATTAATAGTTGGTTTGGATAAATCCACGCCAAAATCAAAAGACATTAAAAAGGTTGTTTTTCAAAGCAGATGTCACCGACATGTCGAGACCACATTTGCACATGGTTGATAAATAAGGAACATTTGCAATTACATTATTAACACTTTGAGGACAATGTTCGTCACTCTGAGGACAAGGTTCTTCACTCTGAGGACAAGGTTCCTCACTCTGAGCACAAGGTTCCTTACCCTTAGGACAAGGTTCTTCACACTGAGGACAAAGTTCCTCACTCTGAGGACAAGATTCTTCACACTGAGGACAAGTTCCCTCACTCTGACGTCAGGTTCCACACACTGAGGACCTTTTTCCTCACTCTGAAGGCAGGTTCCTCACTCTAAGGACAAGGTTCCTCACCCTGAGGACAAGGTTCCTCACTCTGAAGCCAGGTTCCTCACTCAAAAGACAAGGTTTCTCACTCTGAGGGCAAGGTTCCTCACTCTGAGGACAAGATTCTTCACACTGAGGACAAGTTCCTCACTCTGAGGACAAGGTTCTCCACATTGAGGACAAGGTTCTTCATTCTCAGGACAAGGTTCCTCACTCTGAGGACAAGGTTCTTCACACTGAGGACAAGTTTCCTCACTCTGACGTCAGGTTCCACACACTGAGGGCAAGGTTCCTCACTCTGAAGGCACGTTCCTCACTCTAAGGACAAGATGCCTCACCCTGAGGACAAAGTTCCTCACTCTGAAGCCAGGTTCCTCACTCAAAAGACAAGGTTTCTCACTCTGAGGGCAAGGTTCCTCACTCTGAGGACAAGGTTCCTCACTCTGAGGACAAGGTGCAACACTTTGAGGACAAGGTTCCTCATTCTGAAATCAGGTTCCTCACACTGAGGATAAGGTTCCTCACCCTGAGGACAAGGTTCCTCACTCTGAAGGCAGGTTCCTCACTCTGAGGACAAGCTTCCTTACTCTCAGGACAAGGTTCCTCACTCTGAAGGCAGGTTCCTCACTGTGAGGACAAGGTTCCTCTCTCTGACTACAAGGTTCCTCACACTGAAAACAAGGTTCCTCACTCTGAGAACAAAGTTCCTCACTTTGAGGACAAAGGCTCCTCACACTGAGGACAAGGTTCCTCACACTGAGGACAAGGTTCCTCACTCTCAGGACAAGGTTCCTCATTCTGAAGCCAGGTTACTCACACTGAGGACGAGTTTCCTCACATTGAAGACAAGTTTTCTCACACTGAGGACAAGGTTCCTCACATTGAGGACAAGGTTCCACACTCTGAGACCAAGGTTCCTCCCTCTGAGGACAAGGTTCCTCACACTGAGTAAACTGTTCCTCACTGTGAGAACAAGTTTCCTCACCCTGAGGACAAGGTTCCTCACTCTGAGAACAAGGTTCCTCACTCTGAGGACAAGGCTCCTCACTCTGAGGACAAGGTGCCACACTCTGAGGACAAGGTTCCTCACTCTGAAGGCAGGTTCCTCACTCTGAGGACAAGGTTCCTCACTCTGAGAACAAGGTTCCTCACTCTGAGGACAAGGGTCTTCACTCTGAGGACAAGGTGCCACACTCTGAGGACAAGGTTCCTCACTCTGAAGGCAGGTTCCTCACTCTGAGGACAAGGTTCCTCACTCTCAGGACAAGGTTCCTCACTCTGAAGGCAGGTTCCTCACTCTGAGGACAAGGTTCCTCACTCTGACTACAAGGTTTCTCACACTGAGGACAAGGTTCCTCACTCTGAGAACAAGGTCCCTCACTTTGAGGAAAAAGGCTCCTCACACTGAGGACAAGGTTCCTCGCACTGAGGACAAAGTTCCTCCCTCTGAGAATAAGGTTCGTCCCTCTGAGGCAAGTTTCATCACTTTGAGGAGAAGGTTCCTTACACTGAGGACAAGGTTCCTCACTCTGAGAACAAGGTTCCTGACCCTGAGGACAACGTTCCTCATTCTGACGACAAGGTTCTTCACACTGAGAACAAGGTTCCTCACTCTGAGAACAAGGTTACGCACTTTGAGGAAAAAGGCTCCTCACACTGAGAACAAGGTTCCTCACACTGAGGACAAAGTTGCTCTCTCTGAGAACAAGCTTCCTCTCTCTGAGGACAAGGTTCATCACTCTGAGGACAAGGTTCCTCACACTGAGAACAAGTTTCCTCACTCTGAGAACAAGGTTACTCACTCCGAGCACAAGGTTCCTCATTCTGAGGACAAGGTTCCTCACTCTGAGGACAAGGTTCCTCACTCTGAAGGCAGGTTCCTCACTATAAAAACGATGTTCCTCACTCTGAGGGCAAGGTTCCTCACTCTGAGCAGGATTTACCTCACTCTGAGGACAATGTTCCACACTCTGAGGACAAGGTTCCTCACTCTGAAGTCAGGTTCCTCACACTGAGGACAAGGTTCCTCACTCTGAGTACAAGGTTCCTCACTCTGAGGACAAGGTTCCTCACCCTGAGGACAAGGTGTCACACTCTGAGGACAAGGTTCCTCATTCTGAAGTCAGGTTCCTCACACTGGGGACAAGGTTCCTCACCCTGAGGACAAGGTTCCTCGCTCTGAAGGCAGGTTCCTCACTCTAAGGACAAGGTTCCTCACTCTCAGGACAAGGTTCCTCACTCTGAAGGCAGGTTCCTCACTCTGAGGACAAGGTTCCTCACTCTGACTACAAGGTTCCTCACACTGAGGACAAGGTTCCTCACTCTGAGAACAAAGTTCCTCACTTTGAGGAAAAAGGCTCCTCACACTGCGGACAAGTTTCATCACACTGAGGACAAAGTTTCTCACTCTGAGAACAAGGTTCGTCCCTCTGAGGCAAGTTTCATCACTTTGAGGACAAGGTTCCTTACACTGAGGACAAGGTTCCTCACTCTGAGAACAAGGTTCCTCACTCTGAGGACAACGTTCCTCATTCTGACGACAATGTTCCTCTCACTGAGAACAAGGTTCCTCACTCTGAGAACAAGGTTACTCACTTTGAGGAAAAAGGCTCCTCGCACTGAGGACAAGGTTCCTCACACTGAGGACAAAGTTACTCTCTCTGAGAACAAGGTTCCTCACTCTGAGGAAAGGTTCATCACTCTGAGGACAAGGTTCCTCTCACTCAGAACAAGTTTCCTCACTCTGAGAACAAGGTTACTCACTCCGAGGACAAGGTTCCTCATTCTGAGCCAAGGTTCCTCACTCTGAGGACAAGGTTCCTCACTCTGAAGGCAGGTTCCTCACAGTAAAAACAATGTTCCTGAATCTGAGGGCAAGGTTCTTCACTCTGAGCAGAATTTTCCTCACTCTGAGGACAATGTTCCACACTCTGAGGACAAGGTTCCTCACTGTGAAGTCAGGATCCTCACACTGAGGACAAGGTTCCTCACTCTGAGTACAAAGTTCCTCGCTCTGAAGGCAGGTTCCACACTCTGAGGACAAGGTTCCACGCTCTGAGGACAAGGTTCCACACTCTGAGAACAAGGTCCTCACTCTGAAGTCAGGTTCCTCACATTGGGGACAAGGTTTCTCACTCAGAGAACAAGGATCCTCTATCTGAAGGCACGTTCCTAAGTCTGGGAACAAGGTTCCTCACTCCGAGGACAAGGTACCTCAGTCTGAAGGCAAATTTCTCACACTGAGGACGAGGTTCCTCACTCTGAGAGCAAGGTTCCTCACTCTGAGGAGAAGGTTCCTTACTCTGAGGACAAAGTTCCTCACTCTGAGGACAAGGTTCCTCACTCTGAGGACAAGGTTCCTCACTCTGAGGACAACGTTCCTCATTCTGACGACAAGGTTCCTCACAGAGAGAACAAGGTTCCTCACTCTGAGAACAAGGTTACTTACTTTGAGGAAAAAGGCTCCTCACACTGAGGACAAGGTTCCTCACACTGCGGACAAAGTTACTCTCTCTGAGAACAAGGTTCCTCACTCTGAGGACAAGGTTCATCACTCTGAGGACAAAGTTCCTCTCACTGAGAACAAGTTTCCTCACTCTGAGAACAAGGTTTCGCACTCCGAGGACAAGGTTCCTCATTCTGAGGAGAAGGTTCCTCACTGTGAGGACAAGGTTCCTCACTCTGAAGGCAGGTTCCTCACAGTAAAAACAATGTTCCTCACCTGAGGGCAAGGTTCCTCGCTCTGAGCACAATTTTCCTCACTCTGAGGACAAGGTTCCGCACTCTGAGGACAAGGTTCCTCACTCTGAAGTCAGGATCCTCACACTGAGGACAAGGTTCCTCACTCTGAATACAAAGTTCCTCACTCTGAAGGCAGGTTCCACACTCTGAAGACAAGGTTCCACACTCTGAGAACAAGGTCCTCACTCTGAAGTCAGGTTCCTCACATTGGGGACAAGGTTCCTCACTCTGAGGACAAGGATCCTCTATCTGAAGGCACGTTCCTAAGTCTGAGGACAAGGTTCCTCACTCCGAGGACAAGGTACCTCACTCTGAAGGCAAATTACTCACACTGAGGACGAGGTTCCTCACTCTGAGGACAAGGTTCCTAACTCTGAGGAGAAGGTTCCTCACTATGACGACAAAGTTCCTCACTCTGAGGACAAGGTTCCTCACCCTGAGGACAAGGTTCCTCACTCTGTGGACAAGGTTCCTCACTCTGCGGAATGTGTTCCTCACTCTGAGGACAAGGTTTCTCACTGTGAGGAGAAGGTTCCTCACTCGGACGACATGGTTCCTCATTCTGAGGACAAGGTTCGTCACTATGAGGAACAGGTTCCTCACTCTGAGGACAAGGTTCCTAACTCTGAGACAAGGTTCCTCCCTCTCAGGACAAGATTTCTCACTCGGATGGCAGGTTCCTCACTCTGAGGACAAGGTTCCTCACTCTGAGGACAAGGTGCCAGACTCTGAGGACAAGGTTCCTCATTCTGAAGTCAGGTTTCTCACCCTGAAGACCAAGTTCCTCACTCGGAGGACAAGGTTCTTCACTCTGAGGACAAGGTTCGTCACTCTGAGGACAAGGTTCCTCATCCTAAGACAAGGTTCCTCACGCTGAGGACAAGGTTCCTCACTCTGAGGACAAGGTTCCTCGCTCTGAAGGCACGTTCCTCACACTGAGAATAAGGTTCCTCACCCTGAGTAGAAGGTTCCTCACTCTGAGCACAAGGTTCCCCATACTGAGGACAAAGTTCCTCACTCTGAGGACAAGGATCCTCACTCTGAGGACAAGGTTCCTTACTCTGATGACAAGGTTCCTCACTCTGAGGAAAATGTTCCTCACTCTGAGGACAAGGTCCCTCAATCTGAGGACAAGGTCCCTCACTGTGAGGACAAAGTTCCTCACTCTGAGGACAAGGTTCCTCATCCTAAGACAAGGTTCCTCACTCTGAGGACAAGGTTCCTCACTCTGAGGACAAGGTTCCTCAATCTGAAGGCAGGTTCCTCACACTGAGGACAAGGTTCCTCACCCTGAGTACAAGGTTCCTCACTTTGAGCACAAGGTTCCCCACACTGAGGACAAGGTGCCTCACGCTCAGGACAAGGTTCCTCACTCTGAGGACAAGGGTCCTCGCACTGAGGAAAAGGTTTCTCACTCGGAGAACAAGTTTCCTCACTCCGAGGACAAGGTTCCTCACTCTGAGAACAAGGTTTCTCACACTGAGGACGAGTTTCCTCACTCTGAGGACAAGGTTTCTCACACTGAGGACAAGGTTCCTCACATTGAGAACAAGGTTCCACACTCTGAGGACAAGGTTCCTGACTCTGAGGAAAAGGTTCCTCACTCTGAGGACAAGGTTCCTCACTCTGAGGACAAGGTTCCTCACTCTGAAGGCAGGTTCCTCACACTGAGGACAATGTTCCTCACCCTGAGTACAACGTTCCTAACACTGAGCTCAAGGTTTCTCACACTGAGGACAAGGTTCTTCACTCTCAGGACAAGGTTCCTCACTCTGAAGGCAGGTTACTCACACTGAGGACGAGTGTCCTCACTCTGAGGACAAGGTTTCTCACACTGAGGACAGGTTCCTTACATTGAGGACAAGGTTCCTCACTCCGAGGACAAGATTCCTCACTTTGAGGACAAGGTTCCTCACTCTGAGGACAAGGTTCCCCACTCTGAGGACAAGGTTCCTCACTCTGAGGGCAAGGTTCCTCACCCTGAGGACAAGTTTCGTCCCTCTGATGACGAGGTTTCTCACTCTGAGGACAAGGTTCATCACTCCGAGGACAAGGTTGCTCATTGTCAGGACAAGGTTCCTCACTCTGAGGGAAAGGTTACTCACTCTCAGGAGAAGGCTTCTCACTCTGAGGACAAGGTTGCTCACTCTAAGGACAAGGTGCCACACACTGAGGACAAGGTTCCTCATGCTGAAGTCAGGTTCTTCACACTGAGGACAAGGTACCACACTTTGAGGACAAGGTTCCTCACTCTGAGGACAACGTTCCTCCCTCTCAGGACAAGGTTGCTCACTCCGAAGGCAGGTTCCTCGCTCTGAGGACAAGGTTCCTCACTCTGCCTACAAGGTTCCTCACACTGTGGACAAGGTTCCTCACTCTGAGGACAAAGGTTCCTCACATTGAGGACAAAGTTGCTCTCTCTCAGAAAAAGGTTCCTCACTCTGAGGACAAGTTTCATCACTCTGAGGACAAAGTTCCTCACACTGAGAACAAGGTTCCTCACTCTGAGAACAAGGTTACTCACTCTGAGGACAAGGTTCCTCATTCTGAGGACAAGGTTCCTCACTCTGAGGGCAAGGTTCCTCACTCTGACCACAATTTTCCTCACTCTGACGACAAGGTTCCTCACTCTGAGGACAAGGTACCTCACTCTGAAGGCAAATTCCTTACATTGAGGACGAGGTTCCTCACTCTGAGGACAAGGTTCCTCACTCTAAGGAGAAGGTTCCTCACTCTGAGGACAAAGTTCCTCAGTCTGAGGACAAGGTCCCTCACTCTGAGGAGAAGGTTCCTCACTCTGGGGACAAGGTTCCACACTCTGCGGAATGTGTTCCTCACTCTGAGGACAAAGTTTCTCACTCTGAGGACAAGGTTCCTCACTCTGAGGACAAGGTTCCTCACTCTGAGGACAAGGTTCCTCACTATGAGGACAAGGTTCCTCACTCTGAAGGCAGGTTCCTCACACTGAGGACAATGTTCCTCACCCTGAGTACAACGTTCCTAACACTGAGCTCAAGGTTCCTCACACTGAGGACAAGGTTCCTCACTCTCAGGACAAGGTTCCTCACTCTCAGGACAAGGTTCCTCACTCTCAGGACAAGGTTCCTCACTCTGAAGGCAGGTTACTCACACTGCGGACGAGTTTTCTCACTATGAGGACAAGGTTTCTCACACTGAGGACAAGGTTCCTCACATTGAGCACAAGGTTCCTCACTCCGAGGACAAGATTCCTCACTCTGAGGACAAGGTTCCTCACTCTGAGGACAAAGTTCCCCAATCTGAGGGCAAGGTTTCTGACTCTGAGGACAAGTTTCGTCCCCCTGATGACGAGGTTTCTCACTCTGAGGACCAGGTTCGTCACTCCGAGGACAAGGTTGCTCATTCTCAGGATAAGGTTCCTCACTCTGAGCGCAAGGTTACTCACTCTGAGGACAAGGCTTCTCACTCTGAGGACAAGGTTCCTCACTCTAAGGACAAGGTGCCACACACAAAGGACAAGGTTCCTCATTCTGAAGTCAGGTTCTTCACACTGAGGACAAGGTACCTCACTTTGAGGACAAGGTTCCTCACTCTGAGGACAAGGTTCCTCCCACTCAGGACAAGGTTGCTCACTCCGAAGGCAGGTTCCTCACTCTGAGGACAAGGTTCCTCACTCTGCCTACAAGGTTCCTCACACTGTGGACAAGGTTCCTCACTCTGAGGACAAAGGTTCCTCACCCTGAGAACAAAGTTGCTGTCTTTCAGAAAAAGGTTCCTCACTCTGAGGACAAGTTTCATCACTCTGAGGACAAGATTCTTCACTCTGAGGACAAGGTTCCCCACTCTGAGGACAAAGTTCCTCACCCTGAGGGCAAGGTTCCGCACCCTGAGGACAAGTTTCGTCCCTCTGGTGACGAGGTTTCTCACTTTGAGGACAAGGTTCGTCACTCCGAGGACAAGGTTGCTCATTCTCAGGACAAGGTTCCTCACTCTGAGGGAAAGGTTACTCACTCTGAGGAGAAGGCTTCTCACTCTGAGGACAAGGTTCCTGACTCTAAGGACAAGGTGCCACACACTGAGGACAAAGTTCCTCATTCTGAAGTCAGGTTCTTCACACTGAAGACAAGGTACCTCACTTTGAGGACAAGGTTCCTCACTCTGAGGACAAAGTTCTTCCCTCTCAGGACAAGGTTGCTCACTCCGAAGGCAGGTTCCTCACTCTGAGGACAAAGTTCCTCAGTCTGAGGACAAGGTTCCTCACTCGGAGGACAAGGTTCCTCACTCTGAGGACAAGGTGCCACACTCTGAGGACAAGGTTCCTCATTCTGAAGTCAGGTTCCTCACACTGAGGACAAGGTTCCTCACCCTGAGGACAAGGTTCCTCACTCTGAAAGCAGGTTCCTCACTCTGAGGACAAGGTTCCTCACCCTGAGGACAAGGTTACTCACTCTGAGGACAAGGTTGCACACCATGAGGACAAGGTTCCTCATTCTGATGGCAGGTTCCTCACTCTGAGGACAAGGTTCCACACTCTCAGGACAAGGTTTTTCACTCTGACCACAACGTCCGTAACACTGAGGACAAGGTTCCTCGCTGTGAGAACAAGCTTTCTCACTTTGAGGACAAAGGCTGCTCACACTGAGGACAAGGTTCCTCGCACTGAGGACAAAGTTCCTCCCTCTGAGAATAAGGTTCGTCCCTCTGAGGCAAGTTTCATCACTTTGAGGAGAAGGTTCCTTACACTGAGGACAAGGTTCCTCACTCTGAGAACAAGGTTCCTGACCCTGAGGACAACGTTCCTCATTCTGACGACAAGGTTCTTCACACTGAGAACAAGGTTCCTCACTCTGAGAACAAGGTTACGCACTTTGAGGAAAAAGGCTCCTCACACTGAGGACAAGGTTCCTCACACTGAGGACAAAGTTGCTCTCTCTGAGAACAATCTTCCTCTCTCTGAGGACAAGGTTCATCACTCTGAGGACAAGGTTCCTCACACTGAGAACAAGTTTCCTCACTCTGAGAACAAGGTTACTCACTCCGAGCACAAGGTTCCTCATTCTGAGGACAAGGTTCCTCACTCTGAGGACAAGGTTCCTCACTCTGAAGGCAGGTTCCTCACTATAAAAACGATGTTCCTCACTCTGAGGGCAAGGTTCCTCACTCTGAGCA